AACAAGCTTAAAGCCCCTGATGGCTCTGGGCGCTGACTCTCACCAGTGGCTATGGATGAAGTCACAGGCGATTTTCAGCCAGCGCCGGCATACATATTTTTTAACATGCTTCATATAGTACCTGATGTTCATTAAATATTTGGAGAATGAATGAAATAATTATTACAATTAACAAAACTTTATAGATTTTTAGCATGTTACTAATGGCCCCCTGGACAATGGTGAAGCCCTTAGCTTCTTACCCAGACGTCAGTGGTTTTAGTACACTAGCAACTCTACAGGGGAAAAACCCTGGTAATTATGGTCTCAATGAGTCAGAACAGGCTCTTAACCACACAGAATCAGTCTGTTGTTATTGGAAGCAATCATTTGGAAGAGAAGGACACTGAGGCTTAAAGAAATGAAATAATTTGCCTAAAGTTACTTAAAAAGAACAGTGTGAACATTCACTGTCAGTGATGATGACATTTAGTTTTCATTTGCAAGGCTGAAATGATTAAAAATGTGTACTGTAAAGAAAAGTCTTAAAAATTCTGTTTTAATTCAGTAGATTAAATCACATTTAGTGTCCTTTTGTAAAATTAGTTCTTTATCCTAAAAAAATTGCTGAATATAAAAGTGTGTGTGTGTGTGTGTGCGCGCGCGCGTGCATGTGCGGGCACACACAGTTATACACATTTAGAAGGGAAATTATAGGTTCCAAAGCTCTTTTGAAAGGGTTCCTTGATTCCCCCTAAAAGCAGATAATCTGATATATGTATAGATTTTTGCTATTGTAATTGAGTGCTCTTTCAAAGCAAAGCACATTAAAATATTTTTAGCTGTAACTTAAATTATATTTTTAATCTTTGTTACTTGCTTTCATTTTTAGGGTTTGTGTTTAGTGAATCAGAGGGATCTGCGTTAGAACAGTTTGAAGGTGGCCCCTGTGCTGTTATTGCACCTGTTCAGGTAACAGACTCCTTTGGCAACTCCTTAGGGGGACGTATTCAGACATTTAGTTTTACTTTTTATCTTCTAATGTCTGTATTCTATATAACCATGAGACTTAATTAACAACTCTAACTTTTGTTCATGTAAATTACTATAACTATTAAAAGAATTAATACTGAACATAAGTAAGTTGCATAGCAGTAACGTTTTATTATAAAGAAAAAAATAATAGGTGTTCCCTGACTTTCAGAAAATTAGGACTTATTGAGCACAGCATCATTTCTAAACAGAAAACGTAAAAAAAAAAGACTTATTGGGTAATAGCATTTTGCCCTATCTACAGGAACAGCATAATAATCTGATGATATTATTCTCATTTCAGTCTATAAAATTAATTTCCTGAAAGGTTGAAAATTACATTAATTTTTTTTTATAATTTTTTATTTTTACAGAGGTTTTGGATTTCCATTCATTCATTGCCACAATTTTCTCCCTTCCCA